CAGAAGGGTTTGGGGGAGACGCTGTTTCCCCTAGCGCCCGCTGGCATAACAAGGAGTAATGGGCACAAGTTGATGGAGAGGAGGTATAGATTGGACATCCGCAAAAACTACTTCACAGTTAGGGCGGCTAGGAGCTGGAACCAACATCCTAGGGAAGTGGTGCTGGCCCCTACCCTGGGGGTCTTTAAGAAGAGGCTTGATGCCTACCTGGCTGGACTCATTTGAGTCCCGTTTCTTGTTTTGGGGTTTTGTTGTTCTCCTGCCCTGGCGGGGGGTCGGGCTAGAAGATCTACTAGGTCCCTTCCGACCCTAAATCTATGAAACTATGGTAATGACAGATGTACAAATTTAGTTGCAAATAGGGACACTTCAGTACCAGTTATGTTGTTTTTCCTTGGTTCAGACCCAGGCCTCATACAGACGTTCAGTTTCTCTTGGGAAAGTTACTGTTCTCCCAGTAGAAACCACAAGTGTACAGATAGTTGTGCTTTTTCTCCCAGGGTAAAAAAAGCCATTCTGGGAGAAAAATACTCTGGCAAAAACCAGGGTTAAATCACTTCCAGGAACGTTTCTCCTGGGACAGTGAATATCTGTACATGCCCTAGCTTCTTTCAGAAGAGAATATAGACCTCCAGCTTCTCCCTCTTTCCCCCAAGGAGACAGTGTGTCACTTGCTGGTCTCTGCTGTTTCAGAACACTCCCCCTTGGCAACTTCCATGCTGTGCTGCTGGGAAGTACAGGCTGATGGAGGGTAGTCTGTCAGCCAATCAAGACTGCCCTATGCCATGCTGCTATCTGTTGCCAGGCAAATTAAGGGACTTTGCAGAGCATGCTAAAGTATCTTTAGGGCCTCAGTATTTTAGTGTCTGTATACATGACTCTGGGTAAGTTTTTCTACCATGAGAACAAACCTGAGAGAACTCTCCGACGTTATTTGAATGTGTAAACACAGACCCAGTTTGTTTTCAGCCTGCCTCCTGCAAAGCTAGGACAATGTTTGCATAGCTGTATCTTCTTCCTTAGAGAAGCTATCAAACGTATGAGAGAATTTACGGAAAGCTTTGCAAATAAAGTGTGTTTTCTTTACCTTATCTCTTCAAGAATTCTGTGTAGGTTTCAGCATTCCTTCATTCTTTCTTGGAGGATAGGGAGAGCAGCTAAGTGCATTTCTTTAGTAGTCTAAATTAAACTCATTTAATCCTAGAGTGCTTAATTTGTAGGGTGGGACTAATAACGCAGAAGGGAATAAACAGTTTCTCACTGGTAATACATTTAAATGAGTGGTAGCTTGAGGGGGATAATCACTTGTTTCTGTGGATTTTTTTTTTAGATTGATATTTTGTTCGCGAGATTAGCGCTGCAAACTATTCCCGAAGATCTAGACCTTCGAGATGATAGTCTACTTAAAAATTTAGACATTAGATGCATACGAAGTCTTAACGGTATGTGTATCTGTGTGTGTGTGTTTGTTTATTTCATGTATACCTTTATCTGAGAACTGGTATAACTGTAACTCAGCTCAATAATACAATAACTCTCGTTATGAATGATTTAGCTCGACAAAGTTTAACTGAACATTAAGTATGGATACAAAAGAAGCCTAACATTTGAAGGTCTCCTTGATTCTGGGGTAGACTGGAAATCCTGACTACCTCATATACACTAAAAAGTAGGGTTGGCAAGCCACTCAATTGACCAGTCAAATATTGTTTATTGATCGGTCATTTGACTGCATTTTTTTGACTGATTTAAAGATTAGCAGTTTTACCAAAAAAAAACAAACCATTTTTTTTTTGTAGCTTTCTTGACAGAAATATGACTTTTTAAATTGTTTTTGACACATTTCTTAATGGAATTTTTTTCCTGTATATTATTTGCAACAGTTGGCAACTTTTTTTTTTTTACATTTTTTGACCAGTCAATTGACCAAACTTTTTGACTGGTCAAATACCCAACCCTAAAACTTTAAATATAAAAAGAATATATAACCAGGACAAGATGTTTGTCCCAGTTGATTCTTCAGTCATATGCAACCTTTGAATTTTCTTCTGTGTTATAACTTTCTCTTGTGTTGAATTTCTTGAGAAGGGGCCTTGAAGCACTTTAGTGTTCTGCAGCCAGCTTTCTCACTGTCTCCAACAACATTTCCTACCATTTGTTAAACAGATTACTGAAGCATTTAATAATGACGGGTTTATAATGTCATCCTAAACTTGAGACTTAGTGCCTTACTCAGTTATTGATAGACCTGTTATCTCTCAATATGGTTCTAAAAATGTGTTCTGTTACAAGCAAGGTGTCTTACGAAAGCATAAAAATCTTGTTTTCTAAATTGATAGGTCATTTGAAGTTAATTGAGTAACACTGGAGTTTTATAAGAATTTGCTCCTAGTTTTAATCTATAACTTTTCTGCATTTCACATTTCTCTCATGACTTCATAATGGAAGTATGGGTACCCCTCTTCCGATGTGCTTTTTTATATACAAATTAAGTGTTCATTTCAAGTGCAGCGTAGTTTTAAAAAAAATTCAAAATGCATTAAACATAATGTTTAAGTTCCAGACAGATGGTGATAAGAATATTAAATGAAAGAGGCAAGGATTTTTGTTGATTATCTGTATTAGACCAACTGCATAATGTGGAGAGACTTGGACATGCCTTCAAATGCACTTCATTTTTCCTCAAATCTGAGGAAAACTAAGGGACAGCAAGTACTAAAAGCAGTCTATGTGGCTGTGAAATTAGAGAGGAGAAAAATTCCTGAGGATAGCAGACAAACAAATAACTAATCCTTGCTTCTCATGCATCTACAACATAACTCTAGCACTACCAAAAATATTAAATCTAATTTCTTGTACTAATTTTGGTAGAATTAGGAGTGGGTTTAAAGATGCATGGGTTTTTTTCCTTAAGTATTAGAGGTAATGTGCTTTCTTTTGCCCAGGTTGCAGGGTGACCGATGAAATTCTGCATCTAGTACCAAACATTGACAACTTCAGGTTAACACTGAGAGCTATCAAACTGTGGGCAAAACGTAAGTAATACTGTTGCAAAATATTCTTAAATTCTTATCCCTACTTAAGACTAACATAATAACTAACTGTTTTCTTTTCTCTGTTTCCCTTTGCATCAACAGGCCACAACATCTATTCCAATATATTAGGTTTCCTTGGTGGTGTTTCCTGGGCTATGCTAGTAGCAAGAACTTGCCAGCTTTATCCAAATGCAATAGCATCAACTCTTGTACATAAATTTTTCTTGGTATTTTCTAAATGGTATGTTAATTTTAGATTACACTAAAATAAAATTGTTTATAGACACTACATTTTAGTCTTGTTTCTATGACATTTCTTCAGCTGGTACCAAGTTAAGTAGGTAGCTCATAAAATCTTGCTCTCTCTGTTTCTGGTGTCAGTGAGTTGTATATTACCTTTTTTATTAAATTTATTCCTTGAAGTGTAGAGTAAATAGGCAAAACATATACCTTGCAGAGGACAATTTGAATAAAATTTGCTTGAATGGGACAATATACACAACAGACCTATAATCACGGGATAAATTATTTGGCATTCCATGTGAGATGGTACAATGAAAAGAGACTTTGTAGAGTCCTTGTTCAAAGTTATCAGTACCTTTAATTGAGCACCTCTGCTTTTGCTTCCAAACATGAAAATCATTACTATAGTTTTACTGTTATTGAGTCCAATGGCTCTTTTCCCTCTCTGGCTATACTATTTATTGGTAATTTAATTTCTAAGTAGTTAATTGACTCTCACTTGCTTGTTCAGCAAATCAGTTGAGACCTCCTCATTATAATGCAATTCCTACACTTTAATTATGGTCCATCTTATGCACAATCAATTGAGAAATTGATTGTGCATCATTCAAGAACATTAATGCACAAATAATATTGGGGAAAACATTGCAGGTATGTCATGATAGTATTTTGAAAAAACTAATTTGTGGCTGTTAGACTATTTAACGTACCCCTTAACTGGCTTCTACTGTCTATAGGAAACTAGCTTTATTCAGTGGGTAGCAAGGGCATCTTGAAGAGCAGTAGCATTGCATTTCATTTAGAAAAAAGAATGTTCCATTCTGCATGCTTTTTCTTTAGAAATCTAGATGGGGGGAAAAAAATCTTGATTAATGCCTGCATTTTGTAATTATTAATCATTCTGCAGTCTGGCCTGTCTAGATTTTTCCAGGAACTGAGCTAGCATGAAGACAAAATCAGTATTAATCTTTACAGACAGGACTTCTGTTGATTTATGGTTAAGTTGAAGAGCAAGTTTAAGGAGTGTGCTGCTTGAACAATATATATTTGTTTAACGCCTTAATTGAAAGACCCAGATAATGCCTTTTGTTGCATCAAAGAACATAGTTATAAACTGTAGTTGTGTTGGTCTTCAGTTCAGGAACCAAGAACCTCTGGTAGACTGATTTGTTCTAATTTTTCCTTGAGAACATATTTCATCTCTTGTTATTCCATGAGACAGAATGAAGAAATATCACATTCAAAAAAATTGTATGTTTAACATAATATATAAGTGGTATCCAGTAGTCTTATTCAGTGCTACAATCTTTTTAAACAGGGAATGGCCAAATCCAGTGCTATTGAAACAGCCAGAAGAATGCAATCTTAATTTGCCTGTATGGGATCCAAGGGTTAGTGTATTATTTTTTTCCCCTATAAATAATTCACACTGTACAGTAGAGAAGTCAGATGTTTAAAGAAACCCCAGGTAAATTTTGTTTTTAGGTTATAAATGAATTTGACATTTTTAGTATTACATTTTTAATGGTAACTGTAATTCTCCTTCAGTGCATAGAACAAAATTAGTTTACATCTTGTAAATTGTCCACTTCTGAAACTGTGTAGATTGCACTATATCTGTGGTTCTAGCCCAATTTCAGCACTAAGTGTTGTAAATAAACACTCCCTATATAACTTGTATACAAAAAAGCTATGTGCACAAAAACAGTTTTGGTCAACTTTTTGACTTTATGCCAGTCCTCACTGACTAGGTAACTTATTTAGGACATTTTACTTCTAGAATCATATTTTAACTGCTGCAGTTTAGGTGTTTATAAATACTGTATTTTGAATACTGAACTCCTTACATTTAACAAGCCCTTTTGTAGTTTGATCCAAGGAAGAGTGTGAGTTTTTTGGTTTGTTTTTTACTCTGCCTTTCAGCAATCACAATGTTGACACCCAACTGGTAGTATCCCTATTATTTATGTTTGGAACTTTAAAAATGAAATCCATTTAGCATCTCAGAATATGTATTTAAGCAAAATCCTTGTTCTTTAAAGTATTAGGGGGGAAAAGTCTAAGATGCCAGAATGGTATTTACTCCTCCAGTTGACCATGAGGAGCCATTTGCCGTTACTCATTTGGGGAGAAATTGAGTACAGTGTTTTACTGTGTGAACTTTTAAATATTTTTTTATGCACTTGAATAAAAGTCCACATTTTAAATGATGTCAGGCTTCTGGTGTAAAGTAAGATTAAAAACATGCTCTTAAGTTACCCTGTTGTTCCTAGTGTAGGGATTTGAGATCAGTGTGCGATTCTTATAAAACAGTACATGCTGCAGTGGCTAAACAGAGCAGGGTAAGATAAGGATAGGGTTTCAACCTTAACTTTTTAGATTTACAACCTGACAGAAGACAAGATCGCTAGCCTAACGCTATTTAAATAAAACTTTTTTCATTTTTTTTCCATCTGTGGTGGTTGCCTCCCTTTTTGTTTCTCCATGTTTTGTTCTTATTAACGGATACTTTAACACAAGTGCTGCTTCCCTCAGGATGCACAGAGCCATTTCTCTTAGACTGGCTCTTCATTATCAATAGTGTTACAGGAATAAATCAGACAGTCTATTTTAAAGGGTCTCAAAGCAGCCATTTCTCTGAAGGTGCCTAGTGTTCAGGTGGTAATGAGGTACCAGTGGTTGTGTGATTGCAGGTTGCCATCCACACCATTGTTTTGTGTTTGTTGTTTTGGGTTTTTTAACCATTCAATTTGAATTATTTTTGGCCTGGTATTGACTATGGCATGCCACAGTCAATGGAATGGTTCTTCCCCATTCCATTTGAGTCTAGAAATAACTTATTTTTTATATAGGTTGCCTGTCAGAATATGTGAACATATTATCATTGAGTATTCTAAACTTCTGTTTACACTCTCTTTAAATCAAATAGGTCTGTAAATTCAGATCTTGTGTTTACGTTAGATTCATTTTAGCAAAGGGGAAAGTCCACATTTTTTTTATTTTATGTATGCTTGAAGAAAACTGATTGGCTGTTGTTATATATAGGTAAACCCCAGTGATAGGTACCATCTTATGCCTATAATTACACCAGCATACCCACAGCAGAACTCTACCTACAATGTGTCCGTTTCTACACGGATGGTCATGGTTGAGGAGTTTAAACAAGGTAAGTATTATCTTATGCTCTTATTCCGAAAGGATTTAAACAGTTCCATCACAGGTATACTATTTTTGAGATCGCTGATTGACCCAGGAATCCTTTCCATAGTGCACACAGTTATTCATTAGTGCTACATACTTTGATCATCACTTTTTCAATTCAGCAGCATGTTTATATAAAAAAAATCTATTATTTCCTTCCAGATACTGTTAGTTGAAAGTGGCTTTCTCAAGCATTTAGTTAACTTTGTAGACTGTACTGGTGACCTTTATGAGCTACATTGCTATATGAGAGATGATATTGTTACTGTGTCACTTTTTCGTAGATACTAATAATGATAAGATGGCAATGTGCTTAGCTCTGTAAGGGAAATTGGAAGAATATTGTCTTGCCTCACCCAAATAATATTTCTGACGACTAATGCACACTTACTCAGAAAGTATTTTTGATAAATGCAGGTGAGAAAATACTCATGATTTTCATCAACGTGAAAGCAGGTCTCTTCCCCACTACAGCTTTCATTCACCCAAAACAAACCCATGCACTAAAGGTTTTAAGCTCCATGAGGCAAACCTTCTGTTTTCCTTCCTGGATTGAGCATGCTTCCTCTGAAGCATACCAGAGAAATAATTCTCGTGTGTTTTTAAATCTCTACTAAATTAATCTGGTCCACTTGCATTTAATCGTGCAATCAAACTTAGTTTCCAAATTTCACAGTACGAATAACCAGTAACCATACAAATAAAGTACACAGAGTTAGTTTTATTGAAACAATTCCTTGCAATCAAAGAGAAGAATAATTTGCCTTGAAGTAGCCTCTGCTTAGTAAATCATTGTTTTCAGGGTTTATTATTATTCATATTATTATTATTATTATGATGGATACTTGCTACAGAACAGCTGTGAAAAAGGCTTAAATGTGTTTTTATAATTCAGGTCTTGCTATCACAGATGAAATTTTGCTGAGTAAGGCAGAGTGGTCCAAACTTTTTGAAGCTCCAAACTTCTTTCAAAAGTACAAGTATGTATTTTATGGCATGGCAGAATGTTTAAGATATACCCATTTAAAAATAATGATCTTTAATAGCAAAGGTGTTTATGCCAGCATAATTAAAGTGGCTACACACTTCCATTAGAAACCCCTAAAGTGTCTTAATGGTTTTCCTAAAAAGACCGAAAATTGTTCTCTTCTGAGGCCCTTTCCCCCAACTGAGAGATCAGGTGTTTTCTTTCCTACAGAAAACTTTAAAATTATTTAATTGTACACCATTTTTCATTTCTGTAGTGTAATAGCTCATGACCAGATATAAAGAATGTAATGGGGTGGCTATAAATGACTTAAAAAATGAAAATTTAATTTGACCAAATATGAAAATGTTTCTGTGGCAGAAATGCCCAACTTCTAATAGGGGGGAGGCTTATGATGTATCCTGTTTTAAAATGAAGCCACAAGCAAAATATTTAATAAAATAACTGTGTAAAATAGATATTTAAGATGAATACCCACTGGAAACCATGGATCTGTCTTTTATTACAGTAATATACAGCATAATTGTGGCAATAAGATTCCTCTAGTACATCTGGCACTTCATTCAGCACAAGTGTACTTACCACTAGCTTTTCTTAAGAAAGCCTGGTCAGAGCTTCAGAATATGTTAGTCTCTAGTGCATATATCTTAATTATAATTATGTAATGCTTTTACATTAAGTAAGGCACTTTCAGAAGTCTTTATTTTTTTTAATGTGGGTTGTTTGGATTTTTTTAAGAAACATTGTGGGGGGACCTTGACACTTAACATTTTAAGGGTTTCTAATGGTACATGATGGTTGGGGGGAGAGGCTTGTTTTTAATGTATTTTGGGTTTGCTGAAGTTGTACTCTATATAATAAATATGGATTATTCAAATGGACTACATTTTATTTGCCCTCAGTTGAAGTATTGTTGGAGACCCATTTTGAGTAAAGATTAAATATTTTTTACGCCAATGTTCCTTTGCTGGGTGGTTGGTTATGTACAAATCTAAATAACACTGAAATATGCAGTTCCCCCATTAAAAAAAGCCTGATGACCATCATAATGTGTCTGTGTTTTGTTTCAATACTTTTTTGCATGATTAAAAGCTTTAAAACATTTGATAATCTTTTATGTTGTGCCTTGGAGATTCAATTTAAAATCTCATAACGTCTCCGAAAGTTAAATTTTTTTATTCTTTTGTTTGTAGTCCCTTGTTAGCAGTATCTGCTAAGGCAGCTGATATATTCCCTACTACTTTTGTTTGTTTACTAAATCCTTTCAAAATGAGGGGTGGGGGATCTGGGAGCAGCAGACATTTACCATTCTGAATTTACCTGAAGTAAATCTCTAATATACATTTAACCCAACATTGTGCAACAGTATCGGTAATTACAGCAACACAACAATGGGATATAATCATTACCAGCAACACGTGCACAAGACTGCAAAAAAAAAAAAAGTCCCAACTCTCTTTATTTCTTGAGAGTGGTGGTTCTCCACAGCCTACTTATCAGAACTGTCAGAGCTTTAACTTTTAGAGCAGTATTTTTTAAGGTATTAGATTAAATATTGGTCACTTTTAAAAATTTAAAAAAAAATCTGCACTAGAAAAATGAATTTTGGCAACTTTGATATCTCATCTGAGAAACTAGCCTTTTCTCCTGTTTGATCCCCATATGTACATCAGAGACTTATTAATACTGATATATAAAATAATATTTGGTTCTGTGCAGAAGGAAAAGGACCACGATCCTTACCTTAGGTTAACAGCTTAAAAAAATTAAATACTTTTATCTTTTCCCTTAAATGTTTGTGTATCACTATTCATAGGAGTTACTACTGTAAATCTCACATTTGTGGCAGAATAGACTGAATTTATTTGTTATCATTAAACAAAGAAAGTGAACTTAGAATATATGCCTAGCTAGAGAAATCTGGAGGGTGCTGTACCTGTAGCAATGCAGTGGAGTTTGAAATAAATTATCTGATTTGCCTGATGATTTATCAATAAGTATTTCCAGCTGGGAGGTGTAAATCTCACACTAATTGTACTTGGTACAATTTTCCTTTTTTTCTAAATTAGAAAAGATTTTCATCACTCCTAGGTATAGTCATAAGAGTGAATGAAAAAAATAAATGCTATCATGGCATAACATTTTCAATATAACATTACATGATACTCAAATGGCTCACTCATTAGAACTCTAAAATAAACTATGTACGATGGATAATAAAACAGCTTCTTGATGTAGTGTATTGCAACACTGTCCTGTTTAGTAATGCACATCAGTATTAGTATGTAGATAATCTATAACTTTATACAGGGGTATATGAGTCTTTTACATGCAGTATATCTTAATAGGACAATTCAGTTGAAACTATATTTCTAACATATGAGGCTATATATTATATAAGAACTTGGAATGGACCCCTTCAATTGTGCATTACAAAATTTTGTTCCAGAAATCATGAAAAAGGAGATGATAGCTGCGTGGATTTGGGGGGCGGGGGGAGGGGGTTATATTCCAGATACTAGTAAAAACTAGAACAGCGTACTAAATAAGGTGTTTGTGGAAATCTGTGAATGAAGGCCTTTGTTCAGGAAGGGGCATGAGGCAGGAAAACTATTGCAGCTAAAATTTCAAATATAACAACAAGATGGGAATTTCATTTTATGATTAAAAGGTGCCACTGAGTTGAAACTTTTTTATAAAAACAATTGAAAATTATAGATTTTTTTTCTCCTTTAATATTTAGCAACGGGAGTGTTTTTCTGTGAACCATTAGTTGCTATAAATTGATGTTCTACTATTAAAACAATGGAAATTTTTCATTGCTTATTATGTAATAAAAACAATACTAATTAGTTTTATACCACTTCCCTCTATCCCTCTTTTCAGTTTTGTTTACTACCCCTTTCTGAACAAACAGGCCCAGTTAAATATCCGCTTTTATAAATGGAATGTAATTGTTACTCATAAGGTGATCAGATATAAAGCAGTCTTTACTAACTAATTTCAAATTTCAGTTATCTTTAGCCACATCTAAAGGCACTCGGAAGAAGCACTTTTATTCCAATAACCAAATAGAAAATGAGTCTTTTCAAATATCTCTTTCATTTTAAATCTGTAACTAATAAACTGCCTCTGCCATTATGTGAAATCTCAGGATGTCGAGTAGAAGTCTTAATGGGCACCAGCTATTTTTAAATTTAATATTTTAATAAACCATACATAAGGACAAATCAGTATTCAAATTGCATAACTAAAATTCAGGTAAAGTAAGATTAATATTAAGCAGAATCTCATTCCTTAAGGTTTGTAAATCTTTGTGCAAAAATATTTGCTAATTTCAGGGTTCATCTCATTTCTAGTGGGGGCAGGGATGGAGTTAATGGAGGGGGTTCATTCAACAAAGACACACAAGACAAAAATGTCAACGTAGCCAAATAAATCATTAAATTTTTTTGGCCATTTAAAAATAAAAAAGCATCTCTCCTTTTATTTACCTGTGTAGTTAGTAAAGTATATTTCAAGTTAGCCTTTGGGATTAATAGGTCTTAATATTTCTACTCGGTTTCCACACATCTCTAAACAGTGTAAATGTGGAAATACATCCATATTTGTTGATCTGTTTAGTTTTGTGTTGGTTTCATGATTTGTAGACCTAGAATGCTAGGAAATCTCTTTACTGCAATTTCACTAGTTTTTAAGTAAGTTAACTAGGTCTGTGTGTCTGTATATGTAATTTGAAATATATTAAGATACAGTTAAAAAAAAAAATCTGATTTCCTCCCCACCCCCCTGAAAGGACCCAAAATGCTAATAACATGATGCTTTGTGAATAATGCAAAATGGGATTACTTAGTTTTTAAAATGGATTACCTTCTACTGTCTTTACAAGTTTGGGTCTTAGGCCTGTAACAGTTAACTGTGTAGCTCACTTCCCCCTGCACCCCCAAAGATTTTGCTGAATTTTAGTTTGTTCCATTAGTTTTAAGGAAAATTAAAATAAAAAGACTTAATTCTGTTCTTTCAGTTATTGCTCATTTACTTTCCCCCGCTCCCACTGCTCCCTCTCCTCCCATCCCCCAGTTTTAAGCAAAATTGGAGCTCTGCCTTCAATTAAAGCCAGAACTTTGGATTTGATGTTTTTAAACTTTGCTTGACATCTGCTAAGCATGATGATGATTCTAGAGTACTGCTGAGACTTCAGGACTAAAGCGAGAGAAAACACACTTTAGAAACCTTCAGAAAAGTGTCTGAATTAAATCTTAACGTTTTAAACTACCTTTTGTAACCATATTTACCTCTAGCATATGTTAATTTGTTATCTAGCTGTAGTTCCATCAGAAATAACTCAGTTATGGCCAGAATACCATTTTTTGCTTGTTTAAATTGATTATTCAGTTCCTAGAATGAGCAATTTAAGATACATTCTTATTGTAAAGATTCTGATAGTCTGCTTTAAAGGCATACTTACCAGGCATAGGTGTTAGATTGCAGCTGTGGTATGCAATAAATTGAAATATCTCAAAATATAATATGGCAACATTCAGTGTTTTTCAGGGTTTAAGCTATCTAGTTTTATTATACAGTACCTGTTTTAACCTTTTGATTCCTTTTGTTTCTGGCTTTATACAGTAAAAGTAATGATGTTTTTGATACTTTGAATGTCCAGTGTCAGCTGTATAAATAGAATAGTATGTTGTCTTTATCTCCAAAGGCATTATATTGTACTTCTAGCAAGTGCACCAACAGAAAAGCAGCGACTAGAATGGTGAGTATCATGCTTGCTCTTTAATTTTTTTTAAAGAAACTTCCAGTTTCAAAGTACTCTCATGCCACAAACCTTGGGCATGTCTTACTTTCTTAAACAGGTTTTATGAAAAAAATTAAAGTTGAAACTTGTTCACATTTTAAATTTATGAGCATAATCTGAGAGTTAATAATTAAAGGGGTTGCATTGGCTGTTTGTTCTACTTAAAAATGACCTGCAAAAACTTCTAAAGATTGGCTGCATTGACAGTATTTGCTTTCAGCGTGTGCAGAAGGTCTGAATATGGGGCTTGGAGGCGGAGATCTTAAGTTTCTTCTAAAAACAAAAAAAAATCTTTTCCACCTTGCCCACACCACCATTCTCTCTGGTTTTGTTATAACACTCTTTGGGGTTCCCAGGTGTTTGTGAGGAGTCTTTTTTCGTACTCTATATGAACTTGTGGGAAATGGTGAATCTCTTTATTAAATACATTTTTCTGTGTTTTTTAGGAGTTAATGCGTGTATTTTGTTAATAATTCTTTAATTCTTCTCAGTTGTTCAGCTTTTAATCTTTCCTGTTAGTGTATACTTTTAGTCCTCAGGTCTAGCTAATACGTAATCATTGCACCCAGAAAATCTTTCTTCTTTTCTAAACTCATCTTGGTCACAGGTGGTTTGGCCAAGATTTATTTTGAATTTCAAGACAAGACATACAGTTCAATTAAACAAGCTGCATTGATTTTGGGGGGTGGGGGCTATTAGTCTGAATTAACTTGTCTTGTGGTTAAATATTAGTTATGTAATATTTCCTAATTGTCTGAAACAAAACATATTTTGGGTTTCTTTACCCAGTGGCAAAGCGAGTCTTATTTCTTTGGTATTGAGGTATTAATAAAAACTTAACTAATAAGTAGT